ACAATAATACATAAATATACACATACACACCAGAACCACGCGAGCGCTGCGCGCGCGTTGGTTCTAGCCGCGGCCACGGAACAGCTCCGAAGACGGTATGAGCAGGCACAGGTCCAAGTATGTGGGGTTAGCCCACAAATCCGACCTCCTCCCCGTCCTCCTCTTCCCCCTCCGCCTCCTCCTGCCTCTCCGCCCCCTCCTCCCCCCTCCTCCTGCCTCTCCGCCCCCTCCTCCCCCTCCCCCTACTTCCCCCCTCCTCCTCCTCCTCCTCCTCCTTCTCCTCCTCCTCCTCCTTCCTCCTCCTCCTCCTCCTCCTCCTCCTCCTCCTCGTTCCTCCTCCACCTCCTCCTCCTCGCTTTTTCCTCTCCACCTCCTCTTCCTCCTCCTCCTCCTCCTCCTCCTCCTCTCCTCCTCCTCCTCCTGCTCCTCCTCCTCCTCCTCCTCTCCTCCTCCTCCTCCTCCTCCTCCTCCTCCTCCTCTCCTCCTCCTCCTCCTCCTCCTCCTCCCCCTCCTCCTCCTCCTCCTCGCCCCTCCACCTCCTTTTCTTCCTCCCCCCCGTCTTTTCCTTCCCTCCCTCCTCCTCCTCCTCCTCCTCCTCCTCCTCCTCCTCCTCCTCCCCCTCCTCCGCCCCTCCCCTCCTCCCCCCCCCCCTCTCCCTTCCGCATCGTCTCGACTCGTCATCGTCCTCCTCCTTCTCCTCCTCCTCCCTCCTCTCCACTCCCATCCTCCTCCCAATTCTCCCCCACACCTCCCCCTCCTCCTCCTCCTCTCCTTTCTCCCCGTCCTCGACCTCCTCCTCATCATCATCATCTTCCTCACCTCCCCTCCTACTCATATCCGCATCATCCTCACTCCCCCTCGTTTTCCTCCTTCCTCCTCCTCCTCCTCTTCCGTTCCTCCTCCGTCCTTCCGTCTCCGTCTTCTCTCCTCCTCCTCCTCTCTACCTCCTTCCTCCTCCTCCTCCTCCTCCTCCTCCTCCTCCTCATCCTCCCCCTCCTCTTCCTCTCCTTTTCCTTTTCTCTCCTCCTCCTCCTCCTCCTCCTCCTCCTCCTCTCCTCCTCCTCCTCCTCCTCCTCTCCTCCTCCTCCTCCTCCCCCTCTCCCCTCGCCCCTCCTCTTCCTCCTCTCCTCCTTCTCCGCCCGCTCCTCGTCCTCCTCCTCCTCCTCCTCCTCCCCCCCTCCTCCTCCTCTCCCCTCCTCCTCCTCCCCTCCTCCTGCTCCTCCTCCTCCTCCTCCTCCTCCTCCTCCTCCTCCTCCTCCTCCTTGTCCCTCTTCCTCATCCCCCTCCTCCCCCTCCAAAAAAAACTCGATGCCGGGATTTGTTCGCAACGTGGGCCCAGGATATTCGGGCGACTTCCCGGGGCCGACTGTTCATCCCGACTTGTGTTTTCTGTCCTGGGGCCCCGCAAGGGCCCCCTGGAGGCTGGAACTTGCGCAAAGTTTCCCGTCGTGTTTTTTTTGTTGTCCCGACGCGAGGTGGGAGCAAAGAAAAGCGACACCGCCACCACAGGGCGAGGAGCCAGGGGATGCCCCCTGGTGGTGTGGCCACACCTCCCCGCTCGAGACATCCCCGACCTCCAGCCTGAAGGGGCCTAGCGGACCTTCTCGATGAAGGTGGCTCCCCTGGTGGTGGTGGTGGTGGTGTCGCTTCTCCTTCCCCCGAATGAAGGGGACTGGGTCCTGCACTCCGCCCCGGGCCTCAACGGCCTCTGGACGGTCATAGCACAGGAATCTTCTCACCTGGTATATGTTTTCGTGCAGTTCCTGAAGAGCGCCGGGGCCCGCGATGGTGGAAAACAGCCTCCACAAGGCACGGCGCCCACCCGGCGCCGAACACGGCGAAGAAACGTAGCTTAATGGATGCTCGAAGCCTGACGATGAACCAAGGGAACATGGAATCCTGCAGCGTTTCCCGCGAGACCAGCACATGGGGAAAAAACACCAGCATGGCCCGTGGGATCTGTTTGTCGTGCACCTGTAACTTGCATCTTGGGAGCCCTTCGGGGGCTTCTGGCGGCGTCTTGGGGGTCTCCGGGGCGTTTCTTAAAGTCTCCTAAGGGCTTTCGGGGGCCGAAGGCCCGACAGGTCCGTTCGGATTCCCTGTCCGGGCCCCTTCTTAGAGCCGTCTTGGGGTTATCTTGGACCGTCTTGGAGGCCTCTTGGGCTGCTTGGGTCCCTCTCGGGCTGTCTTGGGCCGTCTTGGGAGCCTCTTGAGCCGCCTTTTGGGCGATCTCGGGAGTCTCTTCGGCTATCTTGGAGCGTCGGAAGCCGAAAACATGATAACCAGAAAAACCATCAAAAACCATCGAACAAAAACAACCATTTGTTGCCTCTTGTGGCCCTCTTGAAACAGCCTCTTGGAGGCCTCTTGGGGCGTCTTGGAAGCCTCTTGGGCCGTCTAGGGACTATCTTGAGCGTCTTGGACCGACTTTGTAGCATCTCGGAGCCCTCATGGACATCTTGGGTGTTTCCTGGGGCCGTTTTGGAGGCCTCCTGGAGGTCCCCTGGGCCGTCTGGGTGCCCTTTGGAAGCGCCAGGGCGGGAGTATCAAAAAAGGGGGCCCGATGGTTTTGAGGTGGGCAAGGCCCCCAGGCTGGGGACCTCGTATTCATCCATATTATATTATATTATATATATGTGCTCCGCAACACGGATGTTCAAACAAAATGTGCGCGCTCATGCGAATTCCTCCGAAAACCATAAGTTTTCGACATTTTCATAGAATACTACCAAGCGGGCTTCGCGCGCGCATGTCGAAATCGTTCGAACGCCTTTGCGCGCGTGCCGTCGCGAGAATCATTTGCCAAAAAATATTACGAAGTGCACACGCGCGCGTCGTCGCGCGCGCACGCCGAAATCCTTCAGAAAACCTTTCGGTCCAGAAGGATTCCCAAACCGAGGGCCCCCAATAACCTGTAAAAACGTTTGGTTTCGCAACACGGATGTTCAAAAGAAGCTTGCACGCGCTCCAGCGAACACTCACGGAAACCATAGGTGTCCACTATGTTTTGGAATTGTGCCAAACTGGCCTCTGGCGCCGCACGCCGACATCATTGGCACGCCGTTGCGCGCGTGCTGGGGGGGCACGATCCGTGTCAAATAAAACCATGCCTGCCACTCTCGCGCGTCGGCCGCGCGCGCATGTCGAAGGACGCGAGGACGCCGTCACCGTCGTCGGCGTGATCAGCATCGGCGCCCGCACTGGCCGCGCCTTCGTCAGTGCGAACATCGTCACCAGCATCGCCACGATCATTATCGTGTCTACCGTAGTCGGCGTTGCCATGATACCGTGCCCGCCCAAGTTGCCGACTCGCAGTGAAGTGCCCGCTGGGATGCGCCCAGCGGTCAGCGCCACCGCGGCCGCGCCGGTGGTGCCAAAGTAGCTGGCCGCTGCGCGCGCGCGTGCTAGGGTTAGCGCGGCCGCAGAAATGCACCAGCCACCGCCAAGCATGCGTCGCAGTCGCCACCGCATGGGTTTTGCAAACCAAGTTGCGGGTGGGTGGGTGGGTGGGATGTTTGCAAGAGCATGGGATGTGTCAACTCGTTTGGTAATATCAATGACAACCATAGAGGCCCCCAAAAAGCTCCAGGGGGGCCCCAAGAGCACCCCCAAGAGGCCAAAATCATTGATCATTGATTCCCCGTTGGTTTTTGGATGATCTTAGCCGTCTCGCCGTTTTAGCTTTTAACGCTCCAAGGCGGCCCAAGAAGCTCCCAATAGCGCCCCAGAACTGCCCAGGAGGCCCCGAGGAGGGCCCAAACACGCCCCAAGAGGGCCCCAAGACGGCCAGAGAGGCCCCCAAGACGGCCCAAGAGGCACCCAAGAAGGCCTCAAGAGGGGGCCAAGAGGCGGAACACGAACGGACATTTCGAGCCTTCCGCCCCAAGATAGCCGCAAGAGCCCCCCCCCCAGAGGCTCTCGAGGTCCCCCAAGACGTCCCAAGAGGCCCCCCAGAGAAGAGGCCCCCAGGAAGCCCCAAAAGGCCCCCAGGAGGACCCCCAGAGGTCCCCAAGGCCCCCAAGCCCGCCAAAAGACCACGAGGAGTCCCCCGAGAGGCATCCCAAGAGATCCTGATTTGCATCCAGGAGGCTCCTGAACTACAGCCCAGGCAAGTTGGCGGGGTAGGCCGAGGGCAACTAAATTAGACCTCCCGCCTGCCGCGCCCCTATGCGTGTAGGTAGGGCGGGCCGGGCGTTTCCCCTGAGACTTACCTTGTGATCCTGAAGCTTGGAATTTGCAACAGCTTCACGGATGGATGGCGGCTCGTTTGTTTCAATGTTGTTCGCCTTAGGGCCAAACACATTCGTCTTAAAGCTTGCAACAGTATATAAAAAAGATGCAGGGCAAGTGGTTTTCAAAATGTGGCTCTCACTTCAGCGCCGCGCACATTCGTCTTGAAAGCGTGCAGCAGTGTCAAAGATGCAGGGCGGTTCCTTTTCAAAACGGCGTTCCCGCCTCAGCGGCGCGCACATTCGTTTCAAAAGTTCGCCGCAGCTTCACGGATTCCCATGGTCGACGTCCCAGGAGTGGTGTTCTGGCACGCTTGAGGGCTGTCAGGGCGCAACAGTAGCGTTGATTCACGATGTTGAAGTCCCAGGTATGATGTGCTGGCAAGATTTTGGAGCGTCAGGACGCAACAGTCATGTTGATCCGCGGCGCTGAAGTTCCAGGAATTGTGCTTTGGCGCGAGGGAAGCTTCTCAGACGACTGCCTTCTAATGGTCCACTTCTCGCATTGAAAATTAATTCGTGTGGGGACCTGGGACGAGGGAACTTCGAGGGAGGGTTTATTGCAACATCGTTGATGCGTCTTGGGCTTACAGTTGTCCTCCTCCTCCTCCTCCTTCTCCTCCTCCTCCTCCTGAAATCCGACGTCGCGAAAAATTCAACAGTTGAGGGGGAACAAAAAGAGCACCACCGGCAAGCGTCCCCGGGCCCGGGAGACGGCGCCGGAGGAATCTCGGGGGAAAGGAGGCGGGCTCGCGGCACGCAGGGTGGCTCCTGAGCCCCCTCCCCAGCATGTGCTTCTTCAGCCTCCTCCTCTGCACCGCGTTCCGCGAGCAGCGCGGCTTGTGCAGGTGGCAGAAGGCGCACTGCTGGCCTCGGGCACGCGCACCGGGGCGGAGGAGGAGGGCGGAGGCCTCCCAAGTAGGGTCCGAGCAGATGGGGTCGGAGGATCGCGCCGCATCGCTAGTGCATCACCGATGCATCGGCAATACATCGACGACGTCATCGATGAATCGGCGACGCCCGCACTGAGGAAACCGGGCTCCACATCAAGCCGCATCACGGACACTCGAGCCCCACGTGGGAGGCTTGGGCAGGGGCGAGCGAGCGAGCGCAGAGGCAGGAGGGGGGCACCCCCCCCAACCTCCTCTCGCCCCACCACCACCACCACCACCACCAAGCCGAGCATCCCGAAGGACGCATGGGGAAAAAGAGACGCGAGACCCCCACCCCCTCTCGCTGTGGGAACACATCACGGCGGGAGGTCGCTCGCCGGCGGCCTCTGGGGGGTGGGGGGGGGGCCCTCGCAGGGCCCCAAAGACCGTCAAAGTCGCCTCGGGATGAGAAGCTGGCCCTGGGACAGGAATCTCGCTGGACACCTCATCGAACTGCATAGTCCTACCTTTTCGAATTCGTGGTGACGCGCCAGAAGGACGCAAGGAAGTTCCTTGTCACGACGGAGCTCTCGCTCGAACGGCAGGCCCACGGGGGGGTGGCTTCTCCAAGGGGGGCTCTCTTCTTGTAGTGGAAAAGGAAGCATACAGGGACTCGGGGCCTGGGACGGGAAGGTGACATGCAGCACCGCTGGTGCATCTAGGGTTTACGCTGGTCCTCCTCCTCCTCGTCCTCCTCTGCCTCCTCCCACTCATGTCATCATCCGTATCACCATGATAATGATCATCGTCCGCATCGTCATCATCCGCATCATCATCATCATCATCATCATCATCATCATCATCATCATCATCATCAGCAGCAGCAGCAGCAGCATCATCATCGTCATCATCATAATCATCAGATTCATCGTCGTCGTCACCATCCTCCTCCTCCTCCTCCTCGTCCTCCTCCTAATGCTCATGATACTCAGCATCATCCTCGTCATCATCGTCGTCATTATCATCGTTACCATAATCATATTTTCATATTCGTTGGCATCCTGATGCATCGGGATGATCCATAAGTATTATAATCCTCGTCACCAGCATCGCCCTTGCTACACCTGCCCTCCAGCCACTGGCCGTCTCCCTTCAACAGTGATAGGTGAAACGATTGCCCGCAAATTCCCCTCGCGAATGAGTGCCCTCATCCTCGTCCCCGCCGTGAGCGATCAGCCTGGCAAGTGCCGTGCGAAGAAAGATAGCGTCCGGCTGAAACCACGGAGCTCCGTCGACACAGCGCGACACCGCACACGTCGAAGAGCGGGATGCACATGCCGAGGAGGCAAGCAAAGAATCGGTCCCTGGTAATTCGATCCTCGATCCTCGACGAAGCAGAGAGGAGGACGAGTAAAGCCCCCCGTCCCAGCGGCAGGGCCCAAACCCCTGGGCGGCAGGCCGTGCTTGCAGCTCCGGGCGCGGTGGAAGAACTCGCAAGGGCTGCAGCCCATGCCGCTCGCGCAGGTGTAGTACCCAATGGACTTGTGCCTCTCTGGTATCCTGGGGCCGAGGACGCGTGCACACAAAGGAACGAGGCGAAAGAGATAAGATGGAAAAAAAAGACGAGGAAACATGATCCTCCTACTACTGGACCTCCTCCTCCTCCTCCTCGTCCTCGTCCTCCTCCTCCTGATCATCATCAGCAGCAGAAGAAGCAGCAGCAGCAGCAGCATCTGCATCACGAGCAGCATCATTTTCCCACTGCAAACCAGCAGACCACATCGACCTCATGGCCAGGAAAACACGACAGCGAAGCTGCGCTACAGCGTGAGACAAAGGATAGCACGACGGCCGCGGAGCTGCAAATTCCACGGTCCGTGCGCATTACATTTCAACAAGCCGTGAAACGACCAGGAAGCTGGACAGAAGCATCAACAGCATCATCATCGTCGTCGTCAAAATCGTCGTCATCGTCGTCGGCATCGTCATCGCCATCGTCCTCGCGTCACGACCGCCATCACCACCACTACCATCATCCTCATCATCGTCATCGTAATCGTCCTCCTCGTCGCCGGCGTCGGCAGCATCCTCATCTTCATCTTCTTCATCACCATCATCCTCTTTCAACCCCGCCTGGCCTCCTCTCATGTGTCTCCTTCCACATCAACCCCCTCCTCCTCCAAGAGGAGGACAAGGAAGTTCGCCTCGCCTGCCCGCGGAATCGACCCCCAACGCCTGGGAAAGACGGCCCCTGTGCACGTATGTCAAGTGCCCCCCCCCTCCGCGCGGTCGCCGCTTCCCCCCGCGCGCGAGGGCCGCTACGAACGACGCCCGTGCGACAGGATCCGGAGACGGAAGGCAAGAGGGAGGACCTGCAGGCGAAGAGGACGAGGAGGAGGAGGGAGGAGGGAGGGAGGGAGGGAGGGAGGGAGGGAGGGAGGGAGGGAGGATGGAGGGCGGAGGGAGGGAGAGGAGGAGGAGGAGTAGGAGAGAAAGGAGGATGAGGAGGCGGAGGAGGAGGGAGGGAGGATAGAAGAGGTGGGGAGGAAGGGAGGAGGGAGGAGGGAGAGGAGGGCGAGGAGAACAAACAAAAGAAAAGAGAGGAGGGAAACGACAGGAATGATAATCTTCCACAACGCAAGCGATAGCCCCATCCTCGACCACCGCATATCACCACGGCAGGGCGGGGCCGCGGTGCACCACAGCAGAGCTGCACCGCAGAGGAGAGCACAACGGCCGTCGAGTCTGAGAGCGTGACGAGCCCGCGCGCCGTGCTCGAGATGAGGCTGTGAGACGAGGCAGGGGAGGACAGAACGAGACTGGCCGCGCGAAGCAAGGCCTCATCCCCAAGCAGCATACAACATCCACACGCTCGCCCAAAACGGGTGGGGGCGAAGGGGAGGGAAGAGAAGCACGACGACTGCCCGTGGGTACGGAGGACGGGGAGGATTATTGGATGCTCTCTCCCTTTGCGCCCCCTGCGCACTGGCCAAAAAACTGCAACCGTATGAGACCTGTTATGGGCCCCAAGGTCGAGCGAGTGCCGGCGGGCCCAATGGAGTTTGCCACTCGCTGAGGTCATCGGCATGTAAAGTCCCTGCCCTTTCCCAACCCCTCCCCGGGAAGCTCGGTCTGGCCGGTTTGGAGGAGGGGGTGGTGATACCCTGGAAGGGGTGGGGTTGGAGCTGTGTAAGGGCAGAGGTGGGGCGCTCGTACTGATCGAAACAAAATTCACGCAAATGGCTCCAGGCCCTGACCCGTGCAGCATGGCCTCCACCATACAGTCTCCCATGCCCCATCACCCCTCTCATCTTCCTCAGCCTCTCCTCCCAACTCATCCTCATCCTCCTCCTTGGGCTGTGGCGTATGTGCCCCACCCCCCGGGTAGCCTTCTCACGAGGAGTTTTCGAGGAACGCCTGACCTGACCTGACCTGACCTCCTCCTCCTTCGCCTCCTCCTCCTCCTCCTCCTCTTCCTCCTCCTCCTCATCATCATCATCATCATCATCAACTCTCATTCAATTTCCTCCTGCTCCACCTGCTCCTCCTCCTGCTCCTCCTCCTCCTCCTCCTCGTGCTGTTCCTCCTCCTCCTCCTCCTGCTCTTCCTACGCCTCCTCTCCCAGCATCCCCCTCATCCTCATAGATTCTCCTCCTCATCCTCCTCCTCCTTTTCCTCCTCCTCCTCCTCCTCCTCCTCCTCCTCTTCCTCCTTGCAACGCGCGTGATCGCCGTTACCTACTACGACACCCACTTGTCCTTCTGGGCCGTCTAGATGATGCAGGACTCTGCCCTACACAGAGTGAAATCACACCGAGCTTGTGGCTTAAAGCTACACTCACTCCTACCTAGAGGGTCTTAGGGCAACTCGAGGCTCCCTTCGAACGAGATCTACGATATCAATATGGTATGCGGTTCCACTTGCCAATGCACGCCGTTGTCAGTATGCTGGCCTTGAGCCAATATGGCAGACGAGCCTCTGCGCGTTAAGATCATCAGATCATTGCAAGTGCCAAGGATGTCACTACTTGAGATATGTTCAACCATAGGTGTTCCCTACTCCTCCTCATCCTCATCCTCATCATCAGCAGCATCAGCATCATCAGTGTCGCCATCACACTTATCATTATTATCATCATCAGCAACAGCAGCATCATCAGCATCATCATCATCACACTCAGCATCATCAGCATCATCACCAGCATCATCAGAATCATCATCATCGACATCATCATCATGAACAAAATCATCATCGTCATCATCGTCATCACCATCAGCATCCTCATATTCATCATCACTAGCATAATCGAATGCATCAGCAGCATCATCAGCATCATCATCAGCATCATCACCATCATCATCACCACCACCACAATCATCATCAGCATCAGCAGCATCAGCAGCCACATCATCATCATCTTCATCATCAGCAGCAGCAGCATCATCATCATCACCATCATCATCA